CTCAAGGGCACAGATCACGCCGCCAATTCCATCTTGTCTCCAGGCGCAGGCCCGCGCGCCGCGCCGCTTCGACGCCCCCTCGCACGCATGCCCGAGAGGAGCCCCAACGCAGATATAAGGGGCATACATTTAGATTTGTGCGTGGGTGCGTTGCCATTCGATAAACAGGATACGATGAGGGAATCAGACGTTAAAGCAACGTTTCCCAATTATTATTATTATAGCCATTTCATGCAATTTTCCGAGTCATCAAATTCTCCTATTGTAGACGTTTATAAAGTATTAAAGGTAACTTGAACACTATATAGAAACTTATTGATAATAAAAATATGTTCATAAATATGTCAATTGATATAGGAGCTTTCCTAGATGTAATGCGTTTTGTTTCTGTTTTGCATAATTGAAAAAAAAATTGAATTGAATTCGGTCGGGAATGGATATAAGAGTATATTGCTCCAATTTCAGTTTAAGATTTTATTTAATAAGACAATCAGTACTTTATAGAACCTGAGATGTAGACATTTCCTTAAAACCTAACAGCTATTTGTGCCTAACTCTAAAAAACGTGGGACGGTCATGATTTTACACGATGAATGACCCTACAAAAGAGTTCTACGCTTAATAACCCAAGGTACCTGCTCTCCAAAGTTCCAGGTTTTGGAATAAAAGGGAAAAAACGTTAAGTATACAGAAGAAAGGCAAGGGAAATAGTTTACATTATATCTCCGAAACATTAACATCTATCAAAGAAACCATTTCAACGAAATGGCTTTCCAACAGTCCTTTCTTCACCAAATCAAAGGTCACTGGGTCACTCAATTCACCGCTTCTCAACGTCACTGAACATTAAATTGTGCCATTTAGCAAGTTTTTATTGCTTTTCGAAGTTCAAGTATCATTAGTTCCATGATTATTTTGCAATTTCTTCTGATCAGTTCGTGCTCTTGAATTTCGCTAACACATCGCGAGACATTTCACGGCACGTGAATAGATAATTGACTGATCGGATTTACAGATAAACCAAAATAAGTCTGATCGAAATACACTAATTTTAAAATGTGTGTATAGGTTCAAGGTCTAGAACAATTGAACTCATAAGTTCCTATCTACCTTCAAATGATTCACGGCGTAAGTATAACTATAGAAATTTAATTGTCAGTGGCCATTATACAGCCGAGATATAATAACTTTATCTCTGCAACCTGTTTTGCATACAAATGTATCGTGTCGCGACAGAACAGATGTCTGTGGAAAGTTCTCGATTTGCTTATCAGCCACTGTTGTCTGAAGAACGGAAACCCCGACAACTATAAAAAAGACGGTTGTGGTCTAGGACAGGATTAAGAATTTTTTTAGCGTTCTTTTTAACTCCTGGTTGGTTTTCTATGAATGATTATCTCGAGTGAGCGCATTGTTTCAACAACATGCTAATATTGTTTATTTTGGGCGGGAGTACATTTATTTATACAGGCGATCAATTTTGAGAGAGTGAAACTTAAGGGCAAAACAATGATAAATACAATGTCACGGGCAATTCCAGATCTTAGGTAAAATTTCGGGTGTATCCATACGTGACAGTCTACTTCAAAACGGAGAATCAGAATACTTGAAAGTATGGAGATAATATCTTGGAGAGATTTGACGAAAAATAGATGGTGTTCTTTGCGACACTGATAAGAAATGTGAATTACAATGTCAAGCAGGGAATTGTATTAAAACGGAAATGCATGATGGAAAACAAATATACTATCATATTTAAAGACTTGCACCAATGATGCAGTAATTATTCAAAGTGTCACAAGAGCTAAAACGTCACTCAAAGAAGGAATCAATACTTCTCAAAAGTCCTGCCATACAATTTCATTTATCTGACACCGTGCAAACTTTATCAGCGGATCAAACGAGGCAGATTAAAGGCGAATTTATGAACGAACTTAACGATCATCATATCACGTACATCCATTCATGAATATCATGTAGTACGTCTATTCTCTACATCAATGGAGACATTTCGACACAAGGTTGAGTGCAAAAACGATGTAAAATGAACGATCCACGGTCATTAGTAAGATAATACAATCTTATACGATAAAATACACAAAAGAAACGAGTTAATCTGACGTATATTTTATTAGTCATGCATGGACAAGAAGTTACGAGTCTTATGCAAATTGTTACTTGTAGAACAGAAAGTCTTCGAACTCATTTTACAGGAAAATTATTATTAATGTTTAGTATCCATTCACGATGGTTTCGTCTTTCAGCATTTAGTTTAGAAAATGCAAACCGACTAGAATCAAGCCGGGACGTGAACCACGCAAGACTTTCTCTTGAGAAATAGCTTGATACTTTGAAATGCAGCGGAGACGAAAATTCAAGGATTTATATTCGCCTTTCGAAATCTTCAACCGAGCGATCAATTCACTTAGCTCCATTGCGTTGTTTAAAAGTGTCGTTTCCATATACTAAAGGAGCGCAGTGGAACATCTCCAATGCATCACAGCCCGCACTCAATTCCGAGAAATGGCGAAAGCGCTGGAGACAAAAGGGGCGCCGGTTCGCTCCCCGGCGGCGGGGGCAGAGCGGGCGCAGGGGACCGAGCGGGGGCTCAGCTGGGCGTGTGATCGGTGTAGACGCGCGGCGGGCGGCGGCAGTCGCCATCGAGGCGGGG